TCCAGGTCAAGAGAGACCTCAGGCAAATCTTCAGAAATCCCATTCACAGCAGAGCTACTTGCCACATAGCTTGAGCTTCTCTGGGAGGTCCATGCTATACCCAGCACCTCACATGCCAGGACAGGGCTGCGGGAGCCCATGGGCTTCTTTTGAGGAGGGCGTTGGGGTCTTCCCAGCCCTGAAAGCCCCGTCAATACTGTGCCCACAGCACAGCTTTGCACCCTTTGTCCACACTGACAACGTGCGAGCCGGAAGGCGACCACGCCACTGCATTGATGGACGAGCTTCAAAGGAGAGATCAGAAGAGCAGCAAGTTTCAGAACATTTGGGATGTGATCTTAATAAACTAAACACCAGAAGCTTGTGCACTCAGGAAGTCAGAATTTTTCCAGCTTCCATTTTATTCTCTGGCACTGTGCCCATGCAAGGAAGGAACTCACTGAAATGCAAAAGACTTCTGAAAAATCCAGTGGTGTACTTAATGAAGTCCTGCTGGGATGGAGGGAGTGTGGCCCTTTTGGCAGTTAGGCCTTATCACACTGTCCCTAAGAGAGGAGCTCTGAGTGAACTGGGAAGAGCCAGTACCTACGCCTCTGAAGAGAGAGTCAGGCACTGGTGGTCAGCACTGGTTTGGGCAGAGAGAGAAGGTTCTGAAGGAAAGTGCTATCTGGGTTCCAACTAGCAGGTGGGCTTGTGTGGGCAGAACAAAGCTAGGAGAAAGGGGGTCTGGGGCCTGCCTATCAGGTGGAAGATAAAAGAAGGTGTGTGTCAATGCACTGACCACAGGGACTTACAAGGGGGAGAGGGAGGCAGAAAGGAAGGAGAGCAGAGAAGGAGAAGGAGACACAGAGGACGTGGAACGTAACAAGAGACAGGGATGTGTTTCTATAACCCTTTCTCCAACGGCCGCCACCGTGACCGCTCCCCCTGAGTACTCTTAGACTGTGCCTGACCGGATGACCCCTGGGATGAAATCAAAGGCCTTGCTCACAACGCAAGGGGGGCCGAGAGGTGGTTCGTCTTACCTGTGCTGCTTTGAAAGAACCTTTTCCACCTTCCCTGTGAGCACACTCCAGATATAGAGAGAGCCCTCTGCAGAGCCTGCTGCCACGTAACTGCCATCAGGGCTAGAGAAGACAGTAAGAAAATAAAGGTTGTCAATTCTCCATTCCCATTCAGCATCTCTGTGGCCTTCTTCCCAAGAAGAAATGTTTATTCTTCACTGGTGACCACTCCTGTGTACCCGGACCTCAGAATGCGTGCCAGTTACGGCCCTTCCAGCCAAATCTGCTTTTCCCTGGTATTCCAGCCCTACTGAGCTAAACAAAGAGTGGCATCGTATTACTTCTTGGGGCTCCAAGTCCCTAACCATCCGTCAGACTCCTATCAGACTCGAATACAACAACATATGGGGAGATCAAAGCCAGCTCCACATAGCTAAGGGTTTTAGCCCATGGACTGCCTTGTTACATGCTTGAGAGAGAGGAGGGAAAAAAAAAACCAAGCATTGATTGTGGAGAAGCTTCTCCACAATAGAGGAACTGAGCCTGGAAATGTATTTGGAGGAAGCATGACCCAAGGGGGAAGGCAACAAGGAGCGGGAACTACAGCCCACCTTCCGCACGCTGTTCTCCAGAGAGCCTTTTCAGTCCCGCCCCGGCCCACAGCCGCCCCTGCCCTTTTCTACAGGCTCTCCAACAGCTCTTGCATGAATGACTGATAAGCGGTGAACCTAATGGGCTCGCCCAGAACAAAGCTATCAGCCAACTGTTAGTTGTTGGTACAACACATTAGGTTCATGTAATCACAAAGCAACACTGGAAAGGAAGAGACAATAATGGTGACCTGTAATAAGGAACTTACAGTCACACTCCTGGAAACACAGGTTGGGCACCGAACAAAATTTAGCTCTATATCCCCAATGGGAAAATGCCCATGCAGTACTCTCTGTGATGAACCAAACTGGCGGGGGGCGGGTACTACTAACCTGAAGACAACTCTGGTCCAATCAGAGCCGCACTTGAACCCAGGTGCACTGAAACAAACAACAGGGCACTGTCACCCAGGCAGCTCAGGCCATGCAGCGTGTAGAGAGCAGGGCTGGGCCTCCAGTCTTCATGCAGCCAGCACATCCTCAGTTACCTGAATGTCTGCTTGACAGCATTTGTTCGGAGATCAATAACTTTGAGCAAATCATCACGGGAGCAGCTCAGCAGCTCAGTCCTTTCTGGATTTAAGTCCAGGGCAGTAATCTTTCCCAACAACTCCATCTCTCGAACTATACTCTCTGATCTAAGAGAGAGAATAGATTTGAGAAATGCAACATAGGCTAGAACTACTATACATCATGCCATGGAGGAAAAAAAGGCACTGCAATTCAACTAGAATGCAACACTCTGCCACAACAATCGCCAGTTTCTGATCAGCATGCGCTAACTAGGGCTACCACCCAATTCTTATTATTTCAGTGACGGGATTTCAACTTTTGGATAAAGTTGGCAGAGAAAGCTGCGCGAGTGGCCTGGGCTGCCTTGTAAGCGGTAACTCATCTCTCTTGCGGGCTTCCTGCCCTATTCAGGGTGGCTCTGTGGCCTCCACCTCCAAGTGTAAGACGGGGAACAGAGCCACGGCCCTGCGCACCTCCCTCTTCCTTTCTCCCTCTTCTCCTCTGTGCTCCAGCCCATGACCAGGTCAGCTAACAGCCACCCTGGGCAGGGCCCTGCTGGTGACATTCACAGCCAAAGGGGGTGCTGACCTGGTCTGTGATGATTGTGTGGTAGGCTTTCAATGAAATCATTTTCTACCTCACACCTTAACTAAGCAAGAATTTGTCTTATTGTTGCTAAATATGCAGCCTGAAGGAAGCTACTAGACTTCCTTGGGACTCGGGGGTCTTCACCTGCCAAATGATAGGTTGGACTGGAAGATTTTGAACATCCAGCTTAACTCTCAAATTCCATGTTTCAAGTTCCAACTCCAGGTTTTAAAAGCCAACTGAAGATTATGAATAACATGTGGTGTCCAGAAGCCATGAGCACTGACTGCGTCAGGGCTTTGTGGCGCCATGCTGTGTTTCCAAGCGCCATCTATCACCATGGGCCCTGGACGCCCCCCGTATCTCTACAGCCCTGCTGGGAGCCTGTCCTCATTTACTCTCCATCCTGTCTTCCCCCTCCTCATCCTCTGCTTCCAACCTGCCGATAAGCCCTGTCCAAATTCTCCTTCAAATAGATTCCCTCCTCGTGTTCCTCTATGGCCTTGAACTTAGAAGGCACCTGCTTCTACTTCACTGCACTAGTCACTGACTTTTGTATCTGCCTTCCCTACTACAGTTTTAAATTACCTAAAGGTAGAAAGAATAGCCTGTTTTCCTTTTCTTACCTGTCAGCTGGTAAAGGGCCCAGCACTCACTGCATGCTCAATAAATGACTGCTAAACTCTCGTCCACTTCATGGTAAAGAATATCCTAGTATAATAAGCTAACACTATAAATGTACTAAAGCGCATTTCTGCCATTTCCTGAGATTTTAAAAGCACAACCCACATACAGAACCATCACTGTGTAGACTCTCATGAGCCTCCCAAATGCTTGGGTGTCATACCGAATGTCCCAGAAACGAATTTTCTTGTCAAAATGTCCACTCATTACACATTGCTCTGTGCAGACGATATCATTGCAACTGGATCCTGCAAATACTGTCTTTATGCCTGAAAGAAAAGCAAACATCATTAATCAAGCAGAGGCACCAACGTGGCTGTTTACATAACACTGCTACCCTCTAACCACTGACTTGTCAGAGCTCCTCACTTAAATGAAGCCTCAAACAAGAAAAGCCATCACTACCCTCAGTGCCCCTCTAAACACGAAGCCAGATCTGAAACTCAAACTGTATTACATAAATGCAGGCTCTGACGTGCAAACGCACACCTCCACACTAACATCCAAGCATATACACAGACAGAAAGACCGAATTTCCTCACAGACTTTGCTGCGTAGATCCCAGAGTTTGAGAGTCCGGTCGTGACTTCCCGAGACAATCCGTGCATTGTCCAGCAGGAACTTAGCAGACAGCACTTTCCCACTGTGTCCCGTGAGTGTGTGCTAGGAGAGAGAACACAGCCCGGGTGAGCCTCAGGGCACCAGGCCCTTCCTACACCAGCAAAGTATCCACAGTATCCTTACCTCCAGAGTCAAGTGTCAGAACACCCTGAGATCCAACCAGGAACACTCAAAGCAGTAAAACAGCAAAGGGAAAAGAAACAGGTTGGGCACAGTGACTCGTGCCTGTAATCCCAGCACATTGGGAGGCTGAGGCGTGAGGACTGCTTGAGCCCAGGAGTTCAAGACCAGCCTGGACAACACAGTGAGACCTCCATCTCTAGAAAAAATTTTTAAAAATCAGCAGGGAGCGGTGGCACGCACCCGGGGTCCCAGCTATTTGGGAAGCTGAGGCAAGAGGACTGCTTGAGCCTGGGAGGTCGAGGCTGCAGTGAACTATGATAATGCCATTGCACTCCACCTGAACGACACAGCAAGATCCTGTTCCCCCCCCACCCAAAAAAAAAAAACAATCTCAAAGGATACGAAGCACCATTTCATTTACCGAGTCTCAACCAGAGGCCAGGTGTTACGTGGGAAGCCTATCTCTGATTGTTGCCCAAGGTGAGGTATCAAGACCAAAAGGATAAAACTCCCACGAAAAATAACATTAAAACAAAACTTCAACATTCCTAGGACGAAGCTTCACATGCTCGCCATCCTCATTTTTGAATCTGAAATCAGCTCCACCACAGATACCTGCTGTACTGTTTTTATATGTCTGGATTCTACCAAATTAAAAAATTTTTAAAGCCTCAATTTTACCCCTTCTGCTGCTGAAAGTCAGTTCCATATGTAAAGTCAGACATAGGCACAAAGTCAACATAGGCACAATTTACAAAAGGAAACCTCAGGACTCTTTATGTAAACAATTAAAATCCTTAGGGGATTTTCAATCAGAGGTCTTAGCTTTAACAAGTCAGAGCATAGCCACAGATACCGGCATTCCCAACAATCAAATCCCTTTGGGACTAAGCTATTGGATGCCAACCAGCATCTTCCCTGAGCACACGGAGGAACACAGAATGGGACATCACTGAGTGTCAGCTGCCCTTCTGCCCATCACAGCAATTCTGACTTTGGAAGCCCAATGGGGGAGTGGCAGCTGGGGATAACTGCGACGCTGGGAGGGGATCTGGAGACTCAAACCTTTTACCCTTCATCATTGACTTCTATACGATGTAGGATCAACAGTTTTACGTGTGTAAAACCTCGGAGGTTCAGAAGGTATTCACTGATATTTTTTTCTATTTAGAAAATGCAAGGGTGGGGAAAGTGGCTCACACCTGTAATCCTAGCACTTTGGGAGGCCAAGGTGGGAGGACTGCTTGAGCCCAGGAGTTCAAGACCAGCCTGGGCAAAATAGTGAGACCCTCATCTCTACAAAGAAATTCAAAATAGCTGGGTGTGTGCCTATTCTGTAGTCTCAGCTACAGGGGAGGCTGAGGTGAGAGGACTGCTTGAGCCCAGAAGGTCGAGGCTGCAGGGACCCCTGATCATGCCACTGCACTCCATACATCAACTCCCAAAGATGAGACCTCATGGTTCAGTGTTAGATTTTTTGTGTTAAAATTTTTGAAACCAACCTTCTATTCTCAGTGGAGTAACTCCACTTTAGCACAGGAACAAAAAACTTAGGGCCACATATACTCCTCTTTCCTCTTCAATGAGAGAAGCTTGCATGGGTTCTCAGGCTGCTTTACCCCACATTCAAACCTCTGAAACTAGGACAGCATCTTACAACTGCTGCCAGTCGGGTGGCGGCTGTGCTGCAGTTGTGTGAAAACCTCCCACTGATCCTTCTGTAAGATCAAGAAAGCTCCAGTAACAAAGCTTACACTAGACAGTCCATGAATAATGATTCCATTCAGTAGAAGACATCCACTCTGCACAAATCACGGAGAGAGACAAAACTTGGATAGGCTACTTCTTAAATTCTTTTGTTGTTGTCGTTTTTGAGATGGAATTTTGCTCGTCGCCCAGGCTGGAGTGCAGAGGCGTGATCTTGGCTTACTGCAACCTCTGCCTCCTGGGTTCAAGTGATTCTCCTGCCTCAGCCTCCTGAATAACTGGGACTACAGGCATGAGCCACCATGCCCAGCTAATTTTTGTATTTTTAGTAGGGACAGGGTTTTACCATGTTGGCCAGGCTGGTCTAGAACTCCTGACCTCAAGTGATCTGCCTGCTTCGGCCTCCCAAAGTGCTGGGATTACAGGTGTGAGCCACCGTGCCTGGCCTTAAATTCTTAATAATCATTTTATCAAAAATTTGAATTTATATTTATATTCACTATCTGTTTCTTTCTTACTGTTAGGAGTAAAATCCCATTTCACAAACACAAAGAAAAAGACATTGTTCATAAGTGGGATATGTTGGATACAGATGCTCCTCAACTCACGATGGGGCCAGTCCTGACAAACGCACTGAAAGATGAAAATACCCTAGGTTGGGGGCCACATATATATTCATTTTTACATGCTTTAAAGGAACATGTTAATCTTTCCACAATTATACTCTTCCTAAAAATGTATCCATTGCACTTCAACCTTATAGCATAAGCATTTTTTCATGACAGCTGAACATTCATGGGCTTTGGGGTTCCACTGATTGGAACACCCTGGGTCTCTGTAACATCTGTGAATGGGAAACACCCTTGCGATATTTTAGTATGGACTCAACAAGACTGATGGCATCAGATCTCTTCCTTTTTGCACCCCCCTTTCTTTAAGAGTCTGCCACAAGCGCCAGGCATGGTGGCTCACGCCTGTAATCCTAGCACTTTGGGAGGCCGAGGCAGGTGGATCATGATGTCAGATCAAGACCATCCTGACCAACATGGTGAAACCCCATCTCTACTGAAAACGCAAAAATTAGCTGGGTGTGATGATGTATGCCTGTAGTCCCAGTTACTTGGGAGGCTAAGGCAGGAGAATCCTTTGAACCAGGGAGTCAGAGGTTGTAGTGAGCTAAGATCTCGCCACTGTACTCCAGCCTGAAGACAGAGCAAGAATCTCTTTAAAAAGTCTGTCACAAATGCTGCTGCAGTGAACACCTGTGAGCACAGAGCTTTCTTATTTCCAGGAATGAAACTGCTGAACTAATGGAGTAAGGGAAAGGGATATTTTGTTTTTTAGCTCCTTATATATAGTCAGCTTGCTTTTTATAATGTTTGGGCTTCTGCTCACCTTATTCTCAGTGAGAATAAGCTGGACCTGCCTGAAGCTGACTAGCCGTCTCACTGCTTCCAATGGCACAGAGCCTGGCCTCCTACAGGCATTCATTCACCTTTACCATTTATAAAGAGTCCTTTGAAACTGATTAGATTTAAAATTCTTATATCTAATAGGTGTTTCTGAAATTTATTTTTATTATTAACACGACTTTTAGGTTTTATCTTCTACTTTTAAACAGAGATGAACAAGTGGCGGCAGCAGGTTTAGATGTCATCAAAGCCCAGGCGGGCCTCAAAGTGGGGAGGCTTAAAGATTCCTTTGCTCTACTGGGCTCTGCACAGACTCTCTCTGTGCCTCATGGCAGATCCCGTGTGTCGACCCCTATTTCTTAACACAAAATTGCTCAATCAGGTTAACACCTTAATCATGCAGCTAACCTAACACCAACCAAAGACAACTGATTCCAGGAGAATGAAGAACTCACAGTGGAAGATTCCAAACAGAAACCATCACCTAGCAGCCACAGACAATCCTTACTATGTCCACCTCACCACACCATGAGAAAAGGGGGCAGAACTCCAACCTAGTTCCTCAAGTCAAATCTTACAGAGCAGCCAGGCAGTTTTGCATGGAGTTTCGATTCTCAACAGAGGCATCAAAGAGGTCTCCTTTCAATGCCAGGCTGTTTCTAGGGTGCATTTACAAAAAGGACGTTAAAGCAACCACTCAACCGGTTGCTTCTTATATGCCAGTCTCTCCCAACACCATTCCCTTATCATAAGAGCAAAGGAGATACTGAATAGGGCGTGGACCATGTCTGTGAGTTTCACAATATGGATGAATGGATTCCTGTCCTCCAATATCATCTGTTAACTGGGGTCTAAAAAGAAGCCAGCACTCCCTGGAATGGGAAGCCTATTTTACTTTCTGGAACTTGGTAAGGTTTTCAGGCGAGTTCTCTGGGTACAGGCAATCTGCTGCAAAAGGCCTCCCGATCTTCACACATTTACCAAGGAACAGGACACAGTTATGAGCAGGCCAGGAACTCAAAGCCAACTAGTCCAGCACAGGAGGCTCCTGCCCCAGCATGGCATCATAACCAGCAGCCCTGTCCCATGCTCCAGCATACTGAGAGCATCACCCCAGGGAGAGCTTCCGTGCCAGCTCACTTGGAAAAAGCTTCCCAACGTTATGACCTTTGTCTCTCAGTCTAGCTCCCTGCTCTAGGTCCCCTTCTCGTTATTTCTGACCCAAAGGCTAACTAACGCCCACCTGTAAAGGACTCCTCTTTTACCAATTAAAAAATAACATCCTGCACTACTGGTTGACTCAACTTCTTCCTCTTCTGCTCCAAGGGACTATCATAAAAATGCTGTAGGCCCCTCTTTAATTGGTCAGTTTTACTGTATCTCGGTCTAGAATAAAAGATCAATGGTTAAATAAATCACGGTATACCATAGGATGGATTACAAGGTAACCATCAGCACTGGCTTCTCCATGTGTATGGTACAGAATTACAGGACTTCAACTGAACCTGTTCAAGCATTTGAATCGATGTGCCCTGTGGCGGGCTCTCCAGCAGGTGACTTCCCTCGTCCCTCATAGGCAGGCTCCTCAGCTCTCACAACACATCCTTGTCATCGTCAGGACTCATATTTCGCATGTTTGGATCTGGATCTTCTTTCAACTGAGAATTAAGAATCACTACCCTTGAGGTATTAGCTAGCATCTATACCAGGGGTCCCCAAACTTTTTACACAGGGGGCCACTTCACTGTCCCTCAGAACGTTGGAGGGCCGGACTATGCAAGGTGTGACACCCTTCACAGCCAGCGCTGCTGCCTCCACTATCCCAGACAGCGGTATACAGTGTCACAGGCCCAGCACCGCCTCCAGTGCTGTATACAGGGATGGCGGTGATCAGCCCGTGACACTGTGTATACAGCGTCCTGGACATCTCCAGCAGCGGTGGGCCTCTTCTGTGGGAAGCCCACTGCTGCATGTTTCCCCTATTATAAGACACCTCCTAAAAATAAGGCAGCCCCCGTCTTTTGGGGGTAAAATTAATATAAGACAGGGTCTTATAATGGGGGTGTGTAGTAATGTTGGGGGAGACTTTTGGGCAAAGGGAGGTTATAGGGGCCATTGTTGTTGTACATTTGGGGGAGTATGGGGGCCACTGTACTGTGTAGTAATGGTTATAGTGCTTTGCCTTCCTTCCTACTTCTGCTGTTATTTCACACTGCTTCTGGTGATGTGGGGCGCTGCAGCCGCAGACCTGATGTGCGTCATATGACGCGCTTCCGGAGCCATGACACGTGTGTCCCGTGTCACCGGTAGTACTGTCCGTGAGCGACGCGGCACTTTGCGGCACCACCACATACAGTACTCCAGGAGCATGGGATGCATCTGCATCCTCTCACTGACCACCAATGAAAGAGGTGCCCCTTACTGAAGTGCAGCGGGGGCTGGATAAATGGCCTCAGGGGGCTGCATGCGGCCCACGGGCCATAGTTTGAGGACCCCTGATCTATACTAATAATCCTCTATACAACCCTCTCAAGAAAAATCACCAGAACCTCACCTAATGGACCATTCTATTGCAACTCCCCCACTTCCCTTGTAGATTTAAGAAATTCGGCACTGCACGCTACCCTCGCTGACCCTGCTCTGCTAGCTTCGCCTGCCCGCCCGCACCCACCATGGCCACAGTTCAGCAGCTGGAAGGAAGATGGCACCTGGTGGACAGCAAAGGCTTTGATGAATACATGAAGGAATAGCTTTGAGAAAAATGGGTGCCATGGCCAAAGCAGATTGTATCATCGCTTGTGATGGCAAAAACCTCACCATAAAAACTGAGAGCACTTTGAAAACAACAGAGTTTTCCTGTACCCTGTGAGAGAAATTTGAAGAAACCACAGCTGATGGCTGAAAAACTCAGACTGTCTGCAACTTTACGGATGGTGCATTGGTTCAGCATCAGGAGTGGGATGGGAAG